TTGTAATTTTTTATATGTGGTGATTTGAATCGTGTCGACTCTGAGTATCTGTGTTTCTCCTTTTCCCCCTCACACAGAAAGTTCTTGGAAAGCAAGAGCTGTGTTTTCTGTTTCCTTAACAGTTGATTTTTCTTCTAGAAGGAAGTTCAGAAAGTGCTGAGTGATTGACCAACCTTGAGGAAATAAAAATCATTCATCCTTCAGGAATGGTTTCATAGCATTTCTGGAAGTCATTATGAGATTAAGTTTTTCTGAAAATATGACTGAAACAACTGTTTTCCAAAATTACATTGGAAATATGAGTGGCCGTGGGCACCTGCCCCCAGCAGAAAGTCGTTGGCCATCCCAGAACCCGCAGCCAGGCGTTCCTGTCTTGCTCAGTGTTAAAGCTCTGCCCTGTCTCGAGCAGGGACAGTGTTACATCCATCAAAAACCAGCTGCAGAGTTTGGTGTTGGCCTGAACACTGACCCGCAGCTTGTCAGTTATTCAGGTTGCAGACCTTCACCAGAGTCTCCACTCACTTTCCGAGTGTTGAATTGAGTGTGTATTTATGGACACTCTCAGAGGGCCATCTCACCCCATGATTCTCTAAGCCCTGAAGAGGTGTCCTCTGCTCTGTGTGTATCTGCCCAATTGAGTCATTAAGGGAAAGATAAAAATGGGTGGATGGAAACTGTTAGCTGATGATGCTAACAGTTCCCTTCCCCAGTGAAACTGGCCTGTGCAGAGAAGATGAGGATTTGAAAGCTTAAGAATAAGGTTTTTTGTTTGTTTGTTTGTTTTAAAATCAGCATGGCTCAGGGTCTTAGGGACTCCTTCAATGTGACTGGGTGGGGAGAACAGGACGTGGCTATGCTTTGCAGAACATTCTGCCTGCCTTCATTTCCTGATTTCCCTTGGCCCTCAGATCTGAGGCAGGAGGGAGAGGGCGTTCCTCTTTTTCCATACATTCTTCCTTATCTGCTTCTTAAATGGTATTTTCCTTCTCAGAGTTGTCTTTGAAGTGTCCCTGAGCTTGCACACAGTGTGACTCATGTCCCTAGGGATGACCCTTTCTCAAACATTTTCAAGCAGTATTGAAGGAGAACAAGGAGCAGCATTTCAATCGAGAATTCTTTTTATATTGTTCTTTGGACAAATATCATTTTCCATTTCCCTATGTTGCACATATTAAATATAACCTGAGTTATAAAATTGAAATTATCATACACAGTGATAGACTTTTTCGATTTTTAGTTTTAATGCACATTTGACTACCTTAAAAGCAAATGTAAACTTCAACCCATAAAATAATGTGTTTGATGACTTTTATCATAGATATCAGAACTTTCTTATTTTAATTATTTCTTACGTGAAGTATAACCACAAGTATTGATCACTCTGAAGACATTACTTTGCAAAAAGAATCACCTCACAGAATAGCACAGTTCAGTGGTTTATATGACATCTGCTAAAGGAGACAGTTTAAAATTGTCATGTGTAGGTTACAGATTTGTTCATGACTATTAAGTGGTCATTCGGTTTACGTGGGGTACTGTCTCAGTCAGGGCTCAGTTTCAGGAAACAAACTGTGGACGCTGACTTAGTAAGGAAGCAGTGTCCGTGGGTATTGAGAGTGGCTTGCAGAATCCTTGCGAATGCTGCAGATGCGGCTCTAGGTTGACTGAAAGGTGACATCGTGGTTATAGCCCGATGGCTACTGGTGAGGAAGCTTGAGAAAGGTGATTTTTAGCCCCCAAGGCTCGGCAGTTCCTGTAAGGCACCGGAGGTGGAGGCGGAGGCGGAGGCGGGGAGGGGAGAGGAGGGGAGAGGAGGGGAGGGGAGGGGAGGGAACGGGAGGGAACGGGAGGGAACGGGAGGGGAGGGAACGCTCACCAGGATCCTGCCCCACTGTGCCTGCCGCTGAGCCGCTCCAGGCAGCACTAAACACAGCGTCAGGGTCTGCTCTCACCAAACACATCACACAAACAGCAATAATGACAATCGTGACACAGCTGAAAAGGACAAGTGCAGGATGCTTAGAAATAAATAACAAAGAGACTGATTCTAAACTGGGATGGCGGTAGGGTGCTGGGAAGGCCTCTTGAAGATGCATTTAAACTGAGGCTTTTGCCGGTGGGTTGGGTTTGCCTGGTGACACAGGAAGTGGGGAGGGTGAGCGAAGTCCAGGCAGAGGAGCAGGATGAGGCCTGAGGCTCACTAGAAGAAGGAGAGAAGGTCAGTGAGAGGGGATGAGGCCACAGATTTGGGTTGGGTCTGATCAGGCCTGTGAGGTCACAAGAAGGATTTTTCCTAAAAACAATCAGAAGTCATCTTTTGAGTGTAAAAGTGAAAGCAGATGAGTGTTTTCAAATGATCTCAGCAGCTGCAGTTTGGAGAGTGGCTTGAAGGAGTAAGGGGGTGGACACCAGGAGACCTGGACAGACCAGGTGGGAGTGTTGGTGGCAGTGCAGAGGGAGAGAAACAGGCCTGGATGCATATTTGGGGGTGGACACTGAGACTTTGGAGTGGAGAGGAAGTGACAGTGTCAAGAATACCATTCCCTGGTTTCTGGAATACGTAGCTGGGTCGTGCTTTTGAGTCCTCTTCATGGAGATGTCAGAGAGAGGCATTGGATAGAGAGGTCTGGAGCTCAGAGGAAGATTTGAGCTGAGGTTATAGATCTGGAAGGCACCACATCCAGATGAGACACACAGCTGTGCAGTGGACGAGGGAGCCCTGGGAGAGGCCAGAGCCAGACCACTGACAGGCAGAGGTCCTCTGGAGCAGGAACAGCCAGCAAAAGCAGGAAAAAAAATTCAAGTAAAAGCAGCGTGTTTCCATAAAGAGGAAACTTCCCATTAAGTTTAGTGGGGAGTATTTTTATTTTTGAAAATAGGCCGCTTCTGAAAACTGTAGAGATTAACTCATGTGTTCAGTTCTGTTAGCATGCCTGGGAACATTCATTTAAAATAAAGAATGATTTATTTCTGTCTCTATTACCTGTATTAATTACATTGATTTCTCTATTAACTGTTTTGACATACCACGAGTATACCTAAATGTCAAACTATACTTTTGAGACTAGAAATCCAGATCATCAACAAAATCTAGGTAAAATATGACCTCACATTTATGTAGTGCTAGTATAGTGTACCCTGGAATTTCACAGTCAAGCATGTAGAGCAGATGTTATTTGCATTTGATAGTTGAGAAAACTGGGCTAAAAATGAGTAAGTAATTTGACAGCAAAATATTTACATCCACTAATACATTCCTCTATTGGATTGTCAGATCATCGGTCACCTGAGAAGTCCCTAACGGCAAAGGACAGGCTGCTTTTGATGGGGGAAAAGTTTGGGGCATGTTTTGGCAGCTTGTTAGTTGAACAAATGTTTATTGAACCAAATCCCATGGGTGGGTTCTGAGGTGAAAATGAGCCTCTGTCCCCAATGGGTTTATAGACTAATGGGGGACAGAGGATGGACAAGAACAGACGATGTATAAACAGTGAAACTGTGGGTGCTCTTGCCTGTGTCCTGCAGCAGACACGGGACCTTTTGCATGAATGACCATAAGGGAAATACAGAAGAGAAGGAAGACTCTGGTAGTCTGCCGAAGACTACATCTACTTGAGCATTTTGCTTAGAGCCAGCCCTCCTCATGCCCTGTGCAGGTCACCAAGGGGTCTGCTGTGGTCATGTTTGCTAATTCATTTATTCGGTTATGCAGCATGGCCCCGGCTCCTGGCATTACTGCCTCTCGTGCATGTTCACACTCCAGAGGTGAGTGGGTCAGTATGTCCTGGTTAACCATTAGCCCTGTGTGCATTCTTTATGTTCCCGTCTTTTCTTTCAGACTTCTTGCTTCCTCGTAGGTATAGTGTCACCTACTTAGTCATTTTTTCAACTCCTGGAGGACAGGGAGCATGTTTCCTCATAATACCAAGCCAGACATGTTGCATTGTACTGGATGCTACATAGCACTTATTTAGAGAAGTGGCACTTGGACATGTGTTTTGGCTCAGGGTGCTCTCCCACATTCAACAGTGACTCCAGTCATTCTGCCCTTTTTGTATGGAAGATGATTCATTAGGTAGCCACGTTAATATTTTTAAATGCAAACTTTTTTTGAATACAAAAATTACAGTTAAAAGAGAAAGAAACTTAGAGACATTATAGACCCATCTGATAGTGGGATATGGGAACATGTTAAATAATTCATAAGTTGCTTGCTAACTGGTGAATAAATGCATGATGAAACACTTAGAATTTGGCAAAGCCTTCTAGAGAATCCATTAAACAAATGCACGTCAAATCTTACAGAATCTGCAAGAATTTCTGGAGAAATTTTTATTCTGAAAAGTGAATGACATGTAGCTAAACTCCAATTAGAACTGTGAATGAAAATATCCCAGTGCCTGTAGCAGTGGGTTATTTTTATCAGGGCTTTCTGACTTGTAAAAATGAGATTTTAAGGGAAGTCAGAGGATTAATTCTTGAAGGTAAAACACTGGTATGTGCTCATTACCCTCAAGCAAATATCTTTGGGCTGCGTTCAGATGATCACAAACGTCTCCCTTTCTTATTTCAGGAATGTATGTAGACTCCAGCCTTTATTGCCAAATTGGTCCCTCCGAAATGTTTGGCAAAGCCACTTCTTGCTTGTTAGGCACATTTAATTGTATTGTTGCCTTGAAGCATGTGGGATTTTTTTATGTTTGATTGTGTTTAATCAGTTTTCTGTCCTTTTTCGAGATAAACTGCCTTACAAAAGATCAAGTGTTTCAGGGCCGCTCCCATAAAATCAGAAAGACTTAGGAAATGACAGGAAAGAGTCAAATATTAATGAGTGTTTTTCGATCTGAGGAAATTAAGAGGCAGAAAGTTCATTGTCTGGAACAAGGGTTAAAGATTTTCAAAGATATTCATAAAAATTTGAATAAGAGGAATAATGAAAAGAAGCTGTTCTGTGGAATAAATTTCCTTCACATAACTTTTCCTCTTCTTTGATGCGGTAGTAACCTGAGGGCCATTGAAGGCTGGCTAACAGAAGACGAACAGAATGACTGTATGGTGCCGATTTGAAGAATCAACTGCCACCTCTTTAAATAAGTGGTATTTTTTTAGTTGTCTGCGTATTTTCTTTTTTAAATCATACTGGTTTTCTTTTTCTTTATTGATTTTTAGAGAAAGAGGAAGGAAAAAGGAAAGAGAGATAGAAACATCAATGAGAGAGAACATCGACTGGCTGCCTCCTGCATGTCCCCCACGGGGGATTTGGCCTGCAACCTGAGCATGTGTCCTGACCGAGAATCGAACCTGAGACCTCTTGGTGCATGGGTCGACACTCAACCACTGAGCCACATCGGCTGGGCAGTTGTCTGAGTATTTTCTATACATAAGGTCACTCATTATGTGGTACCTAATTTTTTTCTTTTTACTTTTCTTAGTATATTTTAGGATACAATGTTTGCAGAAAAAGAGAGTGAAAACAATACATATAAACACCCCGGCTAGTCTGTTATATGTCCTACAGAGACCAGAGAGTGGAAGGAAGATCAGTTTGGGCTAGAATATTCTGGGATGGCTTTGAGGAGGAAAGAGATCAAATTTGAACAACACTGAAGGATGGGCAGATGTGGGAAAGGATTCAGGAAGAGTTTTAAAAGAGTAAAGATATGGCTGAGATGTCCTTCATAGTATTTTATTTTTATCTTTAATGCTTTTCTTAGGACATAATTCTTGTGTCTTTTCACACATTGTTTTTGTTTTGCTGTTCTCAGCACTCTGCTTCCAGGGCCAAGACTGAATTCTCCTGCAGCTCGCGGGAGATTTTATTGCCTAAAATCCCAGAGGGTCACTTTGCATATACATGTCAGTAGCATATTTTCATTGGGTCATTTACTGTGGCTTTATTTGCCTTTTGAAGTCTCCATAATCCTGTCCTCTGTGACCTTTCAGAGACAGTTCCCTTGTTTCTCCAGACAAAGGTGAGGTGACTGGCTGTGGGGAGAAGCGTTCCCTGTCATCCGTCTCACCTGTCACTTTGTTTTTTTCCATGCAGTTGAAGGCACAGTGAATTATTGTCATTTTTGCTGTTATTGTCTTCCACATTCTACAGATCAGACAGGTCTCAGGTGGGGTTTAAGATGGGATGTGTCAACCAGCAGATGCCAGGAATGCATGTTTGTCTGTTCCCATGACTCCTGTGCTCCTTTCACTTCCTTATCTGTCTCCGCCTCTACCTCTGCCCCCGCATCCTTTCACAGAGTAACGACACAGCTACGGTAAGACAAAACAGGAAAGCACACACACACACACACACGAGCACTTAGATGCTGAATTATCTGGAAAGACTTAGCATGTTATACTCTTTCCCTGTGGCATGCTACTGATTGTCATGTAGGCTTCCTAGAGCTCAGGGACCAGTGAGAAGAGTAATGATACTGGAAGTGATGCGGCCTGGGGTATACTAGTCCGCTTTAGCTGGAGAGCAGTAACGCCTCTTTTAGAAGGCGGGCTTCAGTCCTTGTTTGAAAAAACTTTGTAGTGTAAGTAAACAGTATGGTTTATTTATTTTAAGAAGAGAAACATCTGTGGGTCAGCCAAGTTTATAGCCTAGTCAGCTTTCATCTGTTTTTGTTTTTGTTTTTTCCTGCTGCTGGTTCTTTTCTGTAAGAAGAGTGGGAGTTCCACTCAGTCTATATCCATAGAAGGCAGTAAGTAAAGAGAAGAATGTATCAGCTGACTTGTCTCAGGAGTGATCTGACTCGGTATCTTTGTCTTTCTTCAGTAAGTGTGTTTAGCGTGTTGGCTCCGGGCTAACTGTCACACTCTGCGGTGAGTCTAAGGAAGAGCTCCTCACTGGAGACTCCAAAGGGACCACCTTAGCTCCCGCCCCCTGCTTGGGTTCAAAAGGGGAAGGAAGGGTCCCTCATAAGTTAGAAACTCAGTGTGTATACCATAGCTCTTAGTCTCTGATAAACAGATGGCATTCTCAACAGTTGTTCTCAGCAGAAGTAAGGGTGGTCTTGATTTCTTGCCATATGAACTCATCTGCTTCCTGTCTCAAGGCAGGAAAAAAATGTTTGTTAGAAAAAAATGTGTCCTTAAAACCACCACCTATTAGATGAGTGCAAGATACCTAGAAGCAAAATGCAAGCAAAATACGAGTTGTTAGCACTGATTTACGTTCTCTGATATGATATGGAAGAGGAATAAAAAAGTGGTGTCAGACTATCTGAATTATTTTTTCAACTAAGAATATAGACTAAAGTCTGAGGAAATCTTAATCTCCCCTTTTCTTCTCCCTCTCCTCCTGGCTCCTTCTCCAGCTACATTTGGGGACAAGCACTGTCTTCATTGAGAGTTACATCACTTCCCCAGAGGTGGGTCCTTCAGGACGGAGAGCCGACTGAACGCAGGAAAGTTATTTCTTTCTTTGTTCCCTGGAAAGTTGGCTTTCAGTTGTAATCATATTTATTGATCTGTTGTAGTACACTACCTGGATTATCAGTTTGCTCAGGGAAGTTGATCACGAAATGAAAGTGTTAGACCTGGATTGGTTATGTTGTTAAGTACTAGCCCATTCTAGCTGCACAAAATGAGGGCTTTGTCACCAGGATACTGGAGAGCATTCTGGAGGCCAAAGCCTGAAGCATGGCGGGAACCAGGGCTACAGGCGGACTCTGCCAGGACCTCTGTTTCTCATCTCTGCTTCTGGCAGCACCACTGCCTCCTCCAGGCCAAATTGTGGAGGTCAGTGACTGCCTCATGATTCAGAGTGGCAGGGAGGCTAGTGCAAAGGTCCAAGCCCAACTCTAGAAAGAAGATTCATGGTACCTGCTTGGAGCTGGGACCAGTCCTGGACAAGCAGTTATGGTGGGACTAGGGAACTGTGGTAGCCATTCAGAACGGAGGGTTAACTCTGCATTAAGTGAGCAAATGTGAGGTCTCTTGCATAGTACACAGTTTTGCTCCTTATGTTAAGGTAAGTGCCTTGTGTGAACCACTGAGGATCCATTTTCTGAGAGCGACTGTGTTGTAGTGACAGAGTGGCCTTGGTGAGCTCAGGACCATTTCACAGGCTGTGAGTGAAAGCAGAGACTCTGGCTGAGCAGTCAGGAACCCTGGGCTTTGCCCAGCTTTTCTAGGAATGCCCTTGGGCCTCAGTTTCTTCATTTATAAAATGAGGGGGTGGCTAGATTAGATGGTCTGCAGAGTGCCCTCCAAGTTTAAACTGTTGTTTCTGTCTGCGGCACCATTTGTCATAGAATATAATAAATTTACAGTAAGATTTATGATAAAATTTAAAACCACAACTGCTCTACAATATAAGCACAGCTTGCATTTGCCAATTTGAAAAACTTGAGCATATAAGAGAGAGGCATTACTTTTTTTTCAAAATGGAATGTGAATAAAATTATACCTTTCCCCAAATCTTTTTTTTTAATTGAGGTAACATTGGTTAGTAGAATTATATAGGTTTCAGGTGTATAATTCTATAACACATCATCTTTGTATTGCACTGTGTGTTCACCACCCCAAGCCAAGCCTCCTTCCATCACCTTTATCCCTCCTTTATCTTCTTGTACCTCCCCCCACCTTCTTCCCTCTGGTAATCACCATGCTGTTGTCTGTATCTATGCCCAAATCTTTCTCTTGGTTTTTAGAACTGTGTATTGCTTTTTTGCTTAATAATTTTCCCCAGGATCTCATTAGGCTCCACATCCTTGCTATATGTTTATACAGAATATGAAATATTATTCTCTCCCATTTAACTGCAACTGCTTCTCGATGTCAGCTGCACTTCGTATTCAATTTGCATTAGGAAATACAACCCTGCGCCACATCTCAGCAACTTGTGTCAATCACTAGAGTCTAGATTCCATTTTCCCACAGGATGAGAAGGTAAATAAATTGGATCTAGCAAGGAGCTTGAATATTAGGATGTATCCATAATTGTCTTTTTTAACAGACCTCCATGAAGAGGGCAGGCCTCCTGGAGGGCAGTGCCCAGGTCACTGGGAGCCCTGCCTTTTACAGCATCAGCATAACCCACTCCTGGGGTCCTTTGTTGGGTAGTGGGTCTGGGCCAGCCTGGCTTTCTGCCAGCAGCTTCAATCCTTCCAGCGGAGTCTGCTGCTCCTTTAACCCTTTCATGTAATGAATGCATCGATGAAAAGGACCCTGTTTGGGTAAACAGGCTGATGCGCCTAGGGATGTCCCATTTCTCCTTTCTTTTGGTTCTAAAATACCCAGTGTTTACCAAGGGAGTTACTGAGGGAGGGAATTTCCCAGATGTAATTCCATCATCATTCTCCCGTGATTTACGAGTCCTTATTATGCTAAGCCAAACAAACATTTTCTTTCAATATTCTAGAACTAATAAAAAAAATCCAGTGAGCCTCATGTGAAGGATCGTGTTTTAATAAAAGTGGTAATTCAAAACACCTGTTTAACTCGTGGCTTTCATTTCTAATCAAGGCTCTGTTAATCCTCTGCTTGGACATCCTGATTTGTCTTTTGCATTTTCTTCTTTAAAAAGAGGACACACCCATTTGATTGAAATTTGATTCTTCTTAGTAAAACTGCCAGTTTTAATTAAGTTTGAAAATTGAAATACGGCTGGGAGTTAGATGAAATCTAATATAATAATTCCCTTTAGTGTTCTGCGTGTTCTGAGGAAGGGATTGTAAATTTGTGCAGATGAAGACATTACATGTTTCTGCTTCTGTGAATTAAATTCAACTTTTTCGTTTTGTTGGTGTTCATAAGAAATCCTTTTATGCTTACTGAAGGGAAGAGAGCTCTAAAAAGTTGTTCAATTTTAAGCTATAGCTACTTCTTATTAGCTATAGCAAAGAGTCTATTCTGGGGTTTTAATTAGGAAAATTAGAGGCATTTTGTGTTGTGAAAAATTGTGCTGTAATTTTAAAGCAATTTTAGAGGAGGGTATTCTTCTGGGATGTGTATGCTTTGTGTCTTCATCAGTTTGTATTCTTGGGTGTGTATCATCTACTCTTTTTCCCTAATCACTTCCAAGTCACTTTGGACCTGATAAAAGTTGGGGATTTATATACATTTTTTTAAAAGCTCTTAATCCTTACTCTGGAATGGAGAAATGAAGAGAAATACATTTATTTTGTGTCTCTCGATTAATTAAAATGTTAATTTTTAAACTTCCTTTGATTTCTCCTACATATGAGGTCAACAGGGAACCGAGGAGAGTTTTTGGCAAGCTGAGCTGTGGTTCCTGTGCGCACATCTTGGTTCGCTCACTTTCAAGTTGACAGTCACCTAAATGTTGACCAGGTATTCTTCCCAGTCTTCACTGGATTGTGTGCATTGGCCTCCTATTGACAAAATTACATGCTTTACATTTTTTTCTGATGTCTTTGATTTGGTGGATGCCCTATATTGAGGAACCCCCACCCCCCACTATGTTTGACCATGAGTAATTGTTTTTTCTATCAGTATTATCAAAGTAATTCAATTTTGCTGCCATAGTTGAAGATACAAAATAATGCTTCAGGCTCTGGCCTCAAGAATAAACCTTTCAGCTTAACCCTCAGGGTGGTATTAACAAACATACTTTTACTTATTTTTAAATAAGTGGTGGAGATCTGTGAGGGTTAAAGAATGTAGATAGTTCGAAGAAAAATTCTTACTTGGGTGTACTGCTTCTATTCTTTTAGAAAAACTGTAATAACTACTCCAAGGCACCATGATTTTTAGACCTCCTTCACTGAACTTCAGGGTCCTGCAGAATTCTTCTAAAACAAGAGCTAACAAATTGTGTCAGAATTTTTTTGTGATTGAATGTAGAACAACAGTAGAAATGGGATTTTTTCCCCCTTCCCTTTTAAAAATTGATCCCTGTTCACTAGGGGAAATGGCAAGAGACAATTTCTAGAAACAACGTTTATTTTGAAAAGTGTTTAGATGAAATCAACAGAAGCAGAAAAAAGGAAAAGGGAAGGAAGTGTATGTAAAGCAAAATTCCCCAAGAGGTGCTGAAAAGGAGAGACTTTATTCAGGTCAAACAGTTTGAAAACCTCAGAAACAGCCTCAGGTAGAAACTGAAAGTGCACTCGCTTAGACAGAAGGGAGGCTCTCTTATAAAGTTCCCACTCAGGTTCCCAATTGGTCCAATTTTATGTAAATGAGATTTCCAAATTCTTACAGCTCTAATTGGTCGGAATCATGCAGTTCTCTTTGGTTGTATTGTGTGTTTTAATTGGTTGGTATAGAGGTAAATGAGGATATAACTGTACAGTCCTGATTGGACAGGGCAGGTATCCGTCCTTCGGCTAAAAGACAAAGCCAGCGAGCGCTTTCCTTCAATGGTTGGTGCAGGCACAAGCACACCGGGCACAGTGATGGAAGCTGAGAGTTCAGTATTAGGTTCTTACCAGGATCAAGAATACATGACAAGTCCCTGTGAGCAAATGGCTGCAAGACTTTTATTGTCTGTAAAATTTGGGCCCTCAGTTGACCATGGTGAGTCCATCTCAGCAGGTAATTTCCTCTGGGGATTCACATCAAGTGAATTTTCTCGGGGCCCACAAGCATGAGGTGTTGGACTTTTCCTGCCCATTCCTTTTGGTTTCATTCTTGTTTTATACTTTAAAGACATACTTTAAGGATAATTGAAGACAGGAAATCAGGAAAACTGATTCTGTGGAGACAAGAGGAAGTTACTGAAAGAAGCGATCAATTTAGGCCAAAAAGAACATGACCATATGTATATAAAACTTAATAGGGAAATATAAAGAAATTATTAGAAGAAAAGTGATAGTATGGTAGAGACTAATGTAGTTCATTTAATATGATGGCTTTTAACGTTCCTACCCCTAATGTTATATCATACAGGGGTATTTTTTAAATCACCTGAAACCTAATTTTAACTATATTAATTTATTCTTACAATGGGAAGAAAGATGAGTGAAACCTGCTTCAAAATGTAGGTTATTATCCAAACTGCAGGCTTCCTGGAGCCCCACTGGAGATCATGACTGCAAACCTCATGTAGGCCCTGGTCCCAGGGACTGCTCAGGAGGAGAGTGATGAGAAGAGGAGCCCACCAAACTGCCGGGTGCTGGACCTCCACACGGCAAGTTTTCCAGAGGTGGAACATCTGTTTCAAAGTGCGTGAGACCCTCTTAGTGAACCAGTGTTGTACATCCTGAGGCTTGATGTGCATCGAAGCTTGATGTTCATTGAACATGTTTTGTGGGGTTTTATGGTGGCATGCTCTTCATACCTGCAGCCGCTTTGGTACCGATGGCCGGAGTTCTGGCCTTGTTTCAGCAACATGGCTACTGCAGCCTTGCAGCCAGGGCCTGTCGTGCTGTTCACCTTGCTCCGTGTTGCTTCTTACGGTACCACCTGGACAGTTTCATCTAACCATTGGGTCTGACTGCACAAAGAAGAGTCTGTGTACCCCCTGAGTACCAGGGCATGAGAAAGGCCTGCTCGCTTGTGAACAGCGAGTCTGTGAACAGAGTTTATAAAGACTAAATTAGGCAGGATGTGTGGTTATGACTGGGCAGGTTTCTATACTCCAGTGCGCATCACGCTGAGTCGTAGCAGCTCTGGATTCTGGTTTTGACACTAAAAGTAATTAATTTGTGGTGCTTTAGGAATGAGTCACTTCTTCAATTTTAATTTCCTCATCTTTTGGTCATTTCTAGGCCCTTTCTGCTCTTAGATTCTGAACTTTATATTTGTAGATTATTATGGATGGACTCAACGGGTGAAAAATATAACAGTTTAAAAAGAGCCATCTGCAAAAGGTGCTTAGTGCCAGAGGGACCAACCCAGGTTTCCAACCATGGGGCCATTTTTAATCTTCTGTAGATGGATGGATGGATGGATGGATGGATGGATGGATGGATGGATATTCTTCTATTCTAAACCTAAAACTTTTTACATATTTCCCCACATATATGTGCTTTGCCTCCACCTTTAAAATGTTCTGCAGTTGAGTTATTTATTGCTGTACAATAAGTACCCCAAAACTTAAGTGGCTTAAAAACAACTATTTGCTCATGATTTTGCAATTTGGAGGTAGGATCTTGGGCAGTTCTTCTGGTCTCTCATGTGGCTGCAGTCACCTCATGACTCCACTGAGGCTGGATGGCCCCTGGTGGCCCCCCCTCAAATGTCTGGTGGTCATCTTAGGCTGTCACAGCAACAGCCTTCCAGAAGGGCAAGCCCAGGGCACAGGAACTTGTCTGGCTTGTGATGCTCCACTGGCCAAGACAAACCTCATGGTCAAGACCAGAGCCAATGGATACCAGGGGATGTGATTCATTAGGGACCATTCAAGTGCAGTCTACCACCTATTTATACCCTGAACTTGTATTTGGAAGTCTGTATTGCCCATCCTACATTGTAAACTTACACAAAGTAACATTTCAGTTTTTGTTTAACAGTATATATCCTGCCATGGAAGGAGTTGGGGCGTAAGATATTATTTGTGATGATAGAGGTAGGTGTCTATATATATCTGAGTGTGCTCAGGAGGGAACATTGCCTATTTCTGGTTCTTCTGTCTCTAAATGCTCATTTTCAGACTCCTTTGCCAAGTGTTCTTCCTGAAGATTCTGGCCGTTTTCTTTTTTTATCTGAATGAATCCCTTGGCAACGTTATCAATTCCTTTAGCTGCAGCTCTTCCTATTGGTTTAATTAGTATCTCTCTGCAGATTACTTCTGCTCAGAACCACATTTGTAACTGCACATTAGACATCTCCATATGAATAGTCTGCACACCCAAAATAATTTGTCTTCTACCTACCCTGAATTTACTTCTCTTTCTGTATTTCTGCTTTCAGTATTGGCTTCACTATTCTAGTCTCAAAGGCTCAAAACCTTCTGCACATTCTTAACCCCTCCCCTCCCCCTCCTATGCCCTTCCCCCCCAGCGCCCCAGCTCATCGCCTGAGGCCCCCAGCTCATCGCCTGAGGCCGGCCCTGTGATTCCTGGCCTCCAGGCTTCATTCTTACTCCAAATTGCATTCCACAAAGTAAGGAGCCAAATCCTTAGACTGTCCTCATTTTGTAACCTCCTGGCTCAAAACCTTCCATGATTCCTTCCTGCCCACGGAACAGAAACCAGCCTTCTCATCCTGACCTATAAAGTCCTGTCAGTTTGGTCCATTGAAGTCCTTCACTGTCATTTCCCATGACATGCTCTCTTCTGCTGTCTCTCCTTCCAGAGCTGACTCTAGTATCTCCTCAGACAAACTCAATGAATAAGTCTCTTCCTTCTTGATGCTATTACACCATTTTATGCTGCTGGCACTTTAAAAAAAAATTTGATTGACTTCATATTTTAGAGAAGTTTTAGGTTCACAAAAAAAAAACTGAGGGAAAAGTATAGAGTTCCCACATATCCCCTCCACCCAAACCAGCCTCCCTCAACCTCAGCACGCTGCACCAGTAGATACATTTTTTTTACAGTCACGGAATCGACGTTGACATCTCTTTGCCAACCAGAGTCCATAGTTTACATTAGGGTTCGCTCTGTGTTGTACGTTTTATGGGCTTAGACAAATTTATAATGTGCATCGTTATAGTATCATACAGAGTATTTTTGTTGCCCTAAAAATCGCCCGTGCCCCCCTGACTTACCCCTCTCTCCCCCCAACGCTGGCAGCACTTTTCACTCGTTTTACATATGTCTGTTTCTGCCACTTGGGTTTGAACACCCCTTATCTTAGTCTCCCTTCACTGCATAGATCTCTAAAAAACATGGATATATAGATGATATCTAAAATCTCAAGTCAAGTGCAGTAATTATCGCCTATGGATGGCCTAGATTTTCCACAAATTGGAAATTTGCGGGGACACACATATCACCAATTTTAAAAGTTGCTTTTGTAAGAGACCAATGGAACTTGATGGTTCAGGGAGACATTCAGCTTAGTACAGGTCAGTAGTATTTGGTGACTTTAGAGATGATTTTCACTGTGTAATAGTTGTGTGTGCTCCTTCCTAATCTATAGATTTTAAAAATCTGTGCTTCCTCAAAAACTTTCCACTCTGCTAAATTGAGAAACAGATACACAGAGAATTGGGCTTTGGAAAAGGATATTTCAGTGAATCTTTCTTTAAAGCAATCTCCTTCTTCCCCGCCGGTGTGGCTCAGTGCTTGAGCATTGACCCATGCATCAAGAGGTCGCTGGTTCGACTCCCAGTCAGGGCACGTGCCTGGGTTTCGGGCTCAATCCCCCAGCAGGGAGCATGCAGGAGGCAGCCGATCGATGTTTCTCTCTCTCCCTCTTCCTTCCACTCTCTCTAAAAATCAATAAAAACATATTTAAAAAAATAAAATAAAAAATAAAGCCATCTCTTCTTATACTGTGAATAACCATCTCTTAATTCGTTTTCTGATTTTGGACTTTTTAAAGATGCTATTGAATTAAAATAAACAAACAAGTAAATGCCAAGCAGGTTAGCAGCACTGTGCGCAGGCTCTGGTACTGCTGCCAAGAGCTGAACAAAAGAGTGTACAGATTTCTTGAGTTGTTAGAACAGCACTGTCAGCAAGTGTCTGGATGTTCCGCAGATCTGCAGGCACCAGGAGAAGGAATGTGAACAGTGAACAAGAAGAACTGGAGGAGAGGAAGGTGACCAGGACGACATTAGTTTCTCATAACGAAAGCTGGGAGCTATGGTTGTCTTAGATCACTAATGGCATGAGGGGAAATGGGCAACATCACTTCAGGGACAAATTCCTGTTTTGCTGGGGTGACTTCCCTCCATCCTCTCTGGCTGAGTTCTGTGGTCTGTGCTGTGTTTGAGGACAGACATTGGACAGGTGCTCGGGTTGCACGGACTCCGTGGAATGTTGGCTGCGTTTCTCCACAGTCACAGGCTCATCATGACTCCAGTCCAAATAATCATATTTTGATTTAACCACATTGTGTTTTGAAAGTCAGTAAAGATTTACTAAGGGTCTAGTTTGGAGCAGCACTCTGGGGACACGGATGACAGTGACAGTAAGACATGCTCATCAAATGCCAGGCTTGGTTGTAGACCCAGGTTGTCCTCATAGCAACCCCCGGGCCCGTGGGCTCCAAATCCGCGTCCCAACACTGCATCTGAGATGCCTCGAAGAGACTTAACTGCCTCTGTTCTCACTCTGTGCCCAGCAGCCCCCTGACTGCAGCAAGGGCTTGAGAAAACAAAACTACAATAACGTGCTTTGTATTTGTTGTCTCCCTTCTTCAGTGATCAGTTTTATGAAGTGTGTTTAGAGCATAAAATTATGAACAGCTTTTGGGTGTGGCATTAAGGACTGGCAGCCCACTTGAGAAGAGATCAGCTCTGTCTGACCCATTCTTTCTCGGTGTTCTCCCTGCACCACTGCCTTGGGTCCGTTATATATATATAAAAATTGATTTTAGAGATAAGAAGGGAAAGAAAGAGAGAGACATGTATGTGAGAGAGAAACATCGATTGGCTGCAACTAGGTGCCGCGACCAGGAATTGAACCTGCAACTTTTTGGTGCACAGGACAACACTCCAACCAAGCCATACCGGCCAGGGTGATAACATTATTTTTAATCTCTCCTTATTAGTAGATGAGGCACAGCTGGAATTTTTTCCTGGGGAATTTTGACTGTGGGTGCCAGGGTAAATAACACAAAAAGAACAAAAAATTGTGGACTCTTAAAGAGAGTGGACAGAGTGTATTTTACACGGAGGCCTTGTGTTTGTTTTATTAAGTTGCCATCTGCCCCGAAGCAGTTTTCCTCCTGTTACTTTAAGTAATTTAACAGGTTTTTTTTCTTCTTTAAAATTTATGCCCTTTTTATTTATTTATGTGTATATAAGACAAGGCATTTCAGTGCCATGGCCCAGAGCCCAGGTTCTTGAGTTACGCTGACCACGTGATTAGAATCAGACCCTGTTGTGTGGAGGTCATTATGACCTTAAGCCAGTCACTTAACTGCTCTTAGCTTCAGTATCCTTATCTGTAAAGGAGTGGGGAGTCTAATAGTCCTGTCTCACGTTGTCGTGAAGATGATGACATAAGAAAGACTGCCAAGCAGTTAGCAGACACCTGGCACACGTGTATGTGTTAGCCTTGAGGAAGGATGTGGGGTAGCTGTGAATTTTCAAAATGATGAATGCTGAGGATGAAAAGGTGCTGCACAAACAGAAAACCAAAGGATATAAAACAGAAATTAAAACTCAGCTGCTTTCTAAATGTCAGGCTTCTTTTTCCTTTCATCCTAAAACTCGATAATGTAACAGAATTACAAATATTCAATGTCCTAGTTTTCTTATCTTTTCCCCCCTAATTTTTATTTTTTAAAAATAAGCCTCAAGGATTTATTTATTTCTTCATTCAACACTGAGCTGATTGCCTGGGACATAAGTGCGCAGTTTACCCCCGATGAACATGCCTCTTGTTCATCAACTAGAGCAGGTAATACTCTTACCCCAAAGGGACATGAGAGAAATATTCCGGTCACTACCATGTAAGATGGATATGCGTCCTGAGAACTGAAAACTGAGGTAAGACCCAGTGGTTCACTTCAGTAAGCATGTGCAGACTGTTAGGGAGAGGCGCTAGACTAAAAACACAGTACTCATGATTCTTTCTTTACTTTTCATTTTGAGATAATCTTAGACATATAAAATGAGGCAAATAATAGTACAATAAATTTCCACATACCCTTTCTCCAGATGTTAACACTTTACATAATCAAGAGTAGTACCACTGATGAAGATCAGAAAGTTAACACTGATACAGTATCGTTAAATAAATGGCAGATCTTATTCACATTGCCCTGGTTTCTCGTTGTTGTTTCCTTTCTGGTCCAGGATCACATGCTGCATTGGTGGTCCTGTCTCCTTATCTCCTTTAATCCGGAGGAGTCCCTCTGTCATTTGGTGTCTGTCTGGATCTCTATACATGTGATGAAGAATACGGAGAAGTTATGTTGTAGAATGGCTCTCAGTGAGGTTAGTTTCCTAATGATCTGGTTCAGATTATGTCAGAATGCTAGCTGATTGATTCAGTGTTCGTTTCTGTGCATCATATCAAGACATGCGATGTTGATTTATCTCGTCACTGATGATGTTAACTTTGCTGTCTTGATTATAGTGGTATCAGCTTTCTCCACTGTGAAATTACTGTTTTCCCCTTTGTTCTTAATGAGTATTTTGTGGGGAGATACTTGAAGGCTATGTAAGTATCCTGTTTCTCACCACACGTTTTCTCATTAATTTTAGCAATCCTTGATGATTCTTTTTTTTTAAATCACCACCCAAGGATATTTTTCCATTGATTTTCAGATAGAGCCGGAGGGAGGGAGAGAGAGGGGGAGAGGGGGGGGGGGAAGAGAGAGAGAGAAAAGAGAGAAACTTCAATGCAAGAGAGACACATCGATTGGTTGCCTCCTGCAGGACCCTGACCAGGGCCAGAGACCTAACCACAACCAAGGTACGTGCCCTTGACTGGAATCAAACTCAATACCCTTTGGTCCTCAGGCTGACATGCTAACTGCTGAGCCAAACCAGCCAGAGCTCCTTATCTTTCTTTACATGTTATATTTTAGTTTAACAAATACAGGTTTTTTTCAGAAATTTCTTAGATTTCACATCCAGTGTACAGAAAAAGGCAATGCAGTAGGTTTTGGCTGCCTTTCTATTTATGTTCTATACGGTTTTGTTTTTATTCTGAGTTGGAACTAGTGAGCATTGGTAAAGCTCTCATTCTTCACTCTCACAGGTGTAAGTGATCCCCACTTGTCATCTGTGGACATTTCCATGAGGCAACAGTGACTTGATATGGCCAGAAGGGGTCCTTTCCTACCACTGAGGGACGTAGATCAATTCAAGTCCTTTGGCCTTTCCTGAGACGTATGTGATAACAAGTGACAAAGGAGAAAAACAACATGAGAAAAATTTGTAATTAGCAGTTGTTAAATAACAAAAATTCAACTGAGTACATTTTAAAGATCTAATTGGCTTTATTGATTCATGAATAGGGCAGCATCTCATCTAGCAAGTGGCAAGGAGCTGTCAAGTGGAGAGCAGAGGAGGTGGGGCCGGAAGGAGTGGAGTACAGTGGTCCCTCGTTTACCGCGGTTAATCCGTTCCAGACTCTAGCGGTTGCGCCTGGCGTTGAAGGATTCCTGGGGTGCTCGAACACATAGGCCTACCGTCCATATGTACAGTAATTTTCATTTAAATTGTAATACAGGGGTGTATAATTGACTCAGACAACCGAGCGCGTGCTGTATCATTTTCACTGTCTCCATCAACTTTTTAAGGAAAATATTTGAAAAAACTGCGATAGAGTGAAGCTGCGAAAGTCGAAGCTGGAAGTGGCGAGGGACGACTGTACCTCTTCCTGTGGGGCATGGACAGGGCTGTGCGGCGGACGACCCCAGTGGTACTGTCCAGAAAATTCCAGACTGACCACTTAAGACGACATTCCTGGGAAAGTTCAAAACTGCAGTTAGATTAGCTATGTACTTTTGGTTTGCTAACATGGATGGGCCTTAGCAAAAAATACTCTGTTTGGGACCTCTTGTTTCTTCTTAATACAATGAAACAAGAAAGTTTTAATTTTTCTCCAGTAAGATGAAAAAATTCATGATTCCTATGGAATTTCATACAGCAATCCCTTGGTTTTCCTACCAAACAAGTTTAGATGTAAAATAATAATAATAATAATAATGATAATAAATTATCAATAATTAATCAGAATTGACAAAACATGAATTTGGAATCATCTAAATCACATTTCTAACTGAATGCTGACTGATAAACTTTGTTAGGTTCTTTAAATCATGTCTTCCAAAGACAAGCATACTTAAGACTAGGAACCTTTGGCCTTTAAACAAAGGAAAATACATCTGAATGCAGAATTGACTCCTAAATAAAAAATGACATCTGTGAGTAAATGTTAAAGAAATTACATGCTGTTTAAGCTCTGCATCATACTACCTCAGACCTGACTTTGGAGAGACCATTTAGAGTAGTCCTGTGCTGTTCCTGGGCGTATAATACTCGTGGGGCTGCAGTGGGGAGGAGGTCAGGTGCTCACCTGCAGTCTGCCCTTTGTCTCAGGGAGAACTGTTAGCCTCAAATGGTTCAGATGAGAGATCATTGAATGATGAGGATGAAAGAAAAATAATGGAATCTTTTATAAGAGCCAAGAGTGTAGTTCTCTGTCCAACCCTGTAGAAGTTTCTAGATTTAACATCCAGTGAGAAATGTGTAGATTGAATTTGGTATGTGGCATCCTTAATTCATGATCATAGCATATGGAGAATGAGAAATTAATGTCAGTTGATCTAATTAGGAATTAAGATTCTCTGTTATCTAATTTGCTTATCTATTTTTATAGTTGGTAGAATACATAGAGTGTAGTGGGAGGAGGCAGGGAAAGGAGAATTATTTATGCAAAACTCAGGTGCTTGCAAGACCTCCTTTTCTTAAAATAATGAAAACAAACAGAATTTTTGTTCTTCAGACATTTTGTGAATTAGGAGTATTTATGGATAGAAGATACATATAATTCGTACGACATGTTTTTGAAAATTCATGAATCATGAAATGACAGATTTTTTTTTATTTTTACCAAGTTAAACATAGTGCTTGTTATTTTTATTATTTGTAAAACACTTCAGTACATTTATTTGTGAGTATATATGCATCTAAGGAAAGGGTTTAAAATATCCAGTTTTCAGCCATGAAAAAAATATTAGCTGAGTTAATGATTATTTTTTAAACCACATCTCTGTGCTTTACATTAAACTGTAAAGTAAATTCAAATCTGTACAAAAAAAGCGATTTTCTTTCTGCATTTCAGTGTGATGAAAGTGTCGGTATCCTAAAACCTAAACTGAAATAAAAATTGAGCTTATCCTCAACTTTCAGAAACATTTTCAGTAACAAAAGAAAATTATGTAAGAAATGTAGTCTGGTATGTCTTAGAAACAACCTCCTCTTGTTCTGAATAAAATAGCTTTGGACTATTGTTTGCTCAACAATTATTTCTTTTTTAGACAAAACTTAAGTTGCCTGTTGGCTTTCACTTATTAGAAAAATGCAGTTACACATGCTTGAAATAGTCTTTTAGGCTAAAGAATGTAACTCATCAGGAAAACATGACTATTCAGCATATCAACTAGAGAAGCTCTGAGCTCAGAAGCAAGTTATTCTGAAGTTTTTGAACAGAAATATATTTTAGAAATGGGGGTGAGTAGAAATTAACCTAGAAGACTAAAATTTAGATATTTATATACCAAAAGTGCTGTTAATCCCTTGCACTCGTTTGATATACATTTATATCCCAAACTTTCAAAGTTTTTGCAGACTCCTCACATGCTTTACCTGTGATTACCAGGGCATCATCCCACAAACCCCAGGAGGGATCTCGGCTGGACCCCTGCTTCCTTGTAAGACACAGGGCACAGCATTGGCTGGGATGTCATCTCTTTTCCTGGACACCATGTTCAGGACTTTAAGGTCCAGAGTCAGATGTGTACTGAGGTTGACACAAGCATAGGGCTTATCATAGAGGAATCTGATTGTACCTTTTCTTCTGATCCAAAGGAGTCTGTAACTGCTGAGTTGTTTCACTTTATTTCTCATCTATTCAATGAGAATAGTCCTACATCATCATTATGAGGGAAGAAGCAGGGAGTACCTATAAAAGTTTTTTTTGGACCATTTTAAAATGAGATGTTCCTGATGGCTGTGTGAATGCTGCCTGTCATGCCTGCGTCTGGCCGGAGTGGATATAACAGGATCGAGTTGCTCTCTCAACCGTACTTTACTAAACACTCAGAGCACACGGAGACTCTGCCAGAAATACCTGCCAGGTCCCCTGTTCTCCACTGCAGGGCTAGCAGATGACTAAAGATAATGCAAATTTTGAAAAATCCCCCACAAGACAATAGACTCCAAATATTTTTTATCACACACCATGTGTGTGAAATCTAAGCATGCTGACATGTGTCCTTATTTATACATTCTATTCATATACAGATATTAAAGTTATATACATTTTATAGCATGTTCTAAATGAAAAATTATAAGATTAAATATTTTTAAATAATTTCAGCACTATAAAAAATCTTTTGCCCTCATTAAAATAATTAGTATTTTTAGTGAGAATAGTACAATTTGTGGGAATATTTTTGAAAATTTTGTTTTAATATTGATTTTTTTAAGCCTACCTCTATGGTTCTGTATATTTTGATTCTTGCTTTTAATGGCTTTTGTTGCTGGGGAAAAAAACTCACAAAAATTTACAAATGCAAATGGAAGAACTGTATCACTGGCCAAATTATCTTCCTCCTTGTCTCAGCCCATCCTGCTGGTTTTCTCACTTGACAAAGCTTTTAGTTGACTTTCAGCTGTTAAATTTCATTTCCTCTGAAAACTTCTAAACTTATTGTAAGAGAAGGTATTGTTATTTTTTAGAGTTTTAACAAATGGGTTCAAGGACCATTAACAAATGGGCTCAAAACTCTCTGGCAAGATTTCTAATACGCTAGAAAATTCTATTTCCAGGTTTTCGAGTGTACTGATATAAGTTTTCATAGGTGACACAGTTACATTGTTTTTGGCCACAAGATCATGAAACAGTGGAAACATTTCCAAACATCTGTTTTTAGAATTCTCTCTTTTCAAAGCTTTAGTTCTCTTGAAAAGCAGTTACTTTCTTAGTTGATGCTGAGTCTCACCTTTACTTTGAAAGGAAGCTTAAAGTGTGTTTATTTCTTTGCTGCTAAAAAGCACACTACTGGCAACCACTTCTGACCCCTGCAAAGGTCCACACATTTGCAACACTTGTCCTTTTACAAAGGAAAAGTGCATGACTCCTGTTTTAAATTCCACAACTTTTAAACATACTTGGGCTCTGCTTCCCTCTCAACCTCTCAACTATGCTCTCTGCTCCTGGTAATTGTTAGAGTAGATAGCATAGTTGTTTTTTGTTTTTTTTAATTTATTTTTCATTCTAGTTGACATACAACATATAATATTATATTAGTTTCATGTGCACAACATAATGATTCAACATTTTCATTCCTTACAAAGTGACCCCCCCATAAGTCTAATAACCATGTGTCACTGTACATAGTTATATTAGTGACTCTAATCTCTGTGCTGTACATTACATCCCATGACTTATTTTGTAACTGAAGTTTCTACTTAATTCCCTTCCCCTTCCCTCCCACCCCAGTTCTTTGAATAAATGGAATAATTTAACAATTGCCAGGAGCGGGAAAATGCTATCACTTAGATACAACTATAAAGTAAATTTCCCAGGCTGTGCAATTTCTTCTAAACCTTGAGTCTTCAAATACTGAATGGTATTTTCTATGGATCTGCCAGTCATATTTGCTGACAAAGGAATTTATTTGAATTTGGTGCCATACTGGTTTTTATATACTTTTGGCATTTTTACCTTGGTAAGAATAACAAGTGACATGTGGTTTTTAGTCTTGTGCTCTAAAGGAACCTGGAAAGATGCTTCTGTACACTAATCATTAAATTAGTAGATATTTGTGGAGTGCTAAATTTTTTTTTTTTTTAATCCTCACCTGAGGACATTTTTTTGCATTTATCTTCAGATAGAGCGGGAGGGGGAGAGGGAAGAAGAGAGAGAGAGAGAAAAATATTGATATGAGAGAGACAGATTGAGTGGTCGCCACCCACACAACCCCAACTGGGGCCGGGGACAAACTGCAACCGAGGTACTTGCCCTTAGTGGGAATCGAACCCAGGACTCTCTGGTCCGCAGGCTGACGCTCCAACCACTGAGCCAAATCGGCCAGGGCTAGAGTGCTAAATTTGGTAGTTTAGTATTATATGATGTTAAAACATCACTGAAAAAATTACAGATGTTTATCTTCCAGTTGAGTGCTTAGTTTTTC